TTAGAGCAGGACGCGTTGAATGCCATGCTTCTTCCATGAGGATCGTGACCACCTTTCGAGTTCTTTCCCTCCCGTCATGGCGTCCTGAGTAAATTTCACTTGGACTTCGTCTTCTCTGAACAACAAACAATATTCCAGCAGGTAAGAGGATTAAAGACGCCTGGTTGTGTCAGAGACCTTGTGGCAAAGACAACGTTCCAACAAGCGCGACACGCACAGTCGCTATTCAAAATATGTTCCTATACCATCTTTATCCGCCCTATCTTGATGTTTGCCTCTTTTCGCCCTACAAAGTAATTCACGGTAGTATAGATACCACAGGCTACCATGCACTTGCTCACTTCCGTTTTATTCGTATTTAAAACTTAACCCATTGAGTAGATTGTACTGTAATGTAATCTCATTTAAATTTCACATGAGAAAGAATCAAGATCATTTTAATATAGTAATTACGTACATTAATAGTTTTTATCTACTTTAAATAATTATTTTTCTACGTATTTTTGATGAGTAAACATACACTAGTAGTATTAAAAGTAGCACTGATACTTAACAATGTTTACACGTACATGTAACATCAAGACCCGAGTAAATCATTATTATAGTGAAGTCACAGGAAATAATGTAACGAAGGGGGAATACTGAGGGAGAAGTCATACATATTAACTCTCTGAAGTATCTGGTAACAGTTTTTCGAAAAAAGATTAGTATGGACAAACTTTAAAATTCAAGTCATATGTTAAAGATTCCTATGCCCTATATAATACGTGCTTAATAAATAGAAAAGATTAACAGAACATCTGCAGTTTATTTCGCTCTGTTCATTTGGGTATATATTTATCTTTTTAATTGATTTAATTCTTTCATAATGTGTCTACGTGAATCGATGATGAGTTCTTCGGCAAATATAACAAAGGCGCCCACAGACTTCAGGAATAGGGCGCACAAAATATATCCGACCAACGATACATAACGTTTTACTAAAACCTTACATGTGACGCCAATGCCATATTAATATTTTAATGAGATGGTCAAAATACCGAAATCAAGTGAGCCATATGCAACGCCGGTGTCATGTACCAGAAGGTCCCCCATGACAGAAAGTCCGGGACCCGTTATTTCAGAAACCAGGGGTCCGTAGGTTTCTGAAATAACGGGTCTCGGACTCTGTATAATGGTGATTAGGTATAATATACAGGGTCCCCCGGACCCTGCATTGTAACGGACCCTACGTTTCATGACAGCTATCACGAAACACAGAGTCCGCCCGTCATACAGAAGAACTGGGTCTAAAAGCTAGGGTCCTACTGTAAAGCAGTAGATATTTAGTAAAAGCGCTTTTAATTGACAATCTGTGTATAATAGAATTATAATAAAGCAAACCCTTGATTCAAGTAAATATAATGTAACAAAACGGCGGTGGTTTGCACAACGGCCTGGTGGTGTAGTGGACAGCGACACGTGTTATGAGTCTACAATGGTATCCAATGACAGGGAAGTATGCAGTAATTTAACAATGTGTTAGTTCGAGTCCCACACTAGAGTTGACTGTATAACGTCTCTATTTTCACTCTTGTTTTTTAAATCTCTAGTTAAATATTCTAGTTACTGTCTATTTATTGTGTTTCATTCCGCAATAAAATGTGCTATACTCACTTTTTATTATATTTCATACCCTTTTTTAAAATAAAACTTACTTAAAATATTTTTCACACATATCCCATTGCATTGTGATGCTTTGTACTACATATACGCGTGACTTATTTGAATACCACTCGTACATGTGCGTAAGCTAGGGTACACAATGAATAGAAGCTAAACTGTGCAAAACGTTTCTTGCTTTAGACTATACGCGTGACTTAGGCTACAATGACTACCACTCATAAATGTGTGACAGCTAACGTTATACAGTGCATCAATGCCAAATTGTGCAAAATATGTATTTTCTGGAAACTGACGAAATTAATTTGATATTTAATATACGTGCTTTTGGAAAATTGGAAAAGGAAAGCATGCTAGTTCGTACAGACTTAAAACGCAAGACGGGAAAACACTAAAGACGGCCGTTAGTGCTAAATTCCTAAAGAAGTATAATGAAAGGGCGTAAGTATTAATAACACATAGCACAACTTTATTCTAAATATAAAACCATTTCTCTCAATAACATTTGAAATTTTAATTAAAATTGTTTCCATTATGTATTATATGGACAACTATAATGCAAAATTGTATCAACAATAAAGGATTTGATATCTACATGTGCTTTAAAATATATTTATAATGTGAAACTATGGATTGTATTATTCTCATTTTAGACGAAGCACTGGCACTGATGTTTCATCAAGTTTGCATGATGATGGAAATGCGGGTGACAACGGACAATGAGGAGAAAAAACAATTACTATACTGATTAATAAAATAAACTTTTTTGTAAAATCAGGAAGTTCACCAATAGTATATATATTATTAATAAATTTATATTTCTTAAGTGATGTTCTTTCTCAATTATATACAAAATATAAACCTGCAGATTAAAGTTTATGAAATGCGAACAATGCACATTTATACTACGCGTTACACTTTAACAGAGGTTAATGATGTTATTTTACCTTAAATTCTTATAATTCTTCCCTCCATATCAGTTAACATCATGTTCAATGTTATATTTACATTGCAAGTTTTAAATGTGAGATTTCATTATTGCTCTTCAATGCGGACTTTCAGTATTAAAACGTAGGGTCCTAGGACTTTCCGTACTGAAATAGAGTGTCTAGGGGGACTCTACATTTCAGAACCTAGAGTCCGGGACCCGTTATTTCGAGACAGGGAGTCCGCCGGACTCTCAGTTTTAAAACACCGGGTCCGCCGGACCCTAGAATGGTAGGACTCTGTGTTGCTTGACACCGGCGTCAAGCCAGAACACGTTCGCCGTTCTCTACCCGTCCAATGCCCCTTGCCGTAAAAGTCTTTACTACTGCATACAAATTAACACAGGCGGATGCTCACTCCATTGCAATAAATGAAGAGCAAAATTAAGGACTGAAAATATTTCTCTGAGATATATGTAGAGATGTATGAGATATTTGTATAGGAAAATTAAATTTCACTGACGAAATAAGTCATTGGCAGTGATGACATGCTATTTAAACTTGAAATTAAAGGCCATCACTTGTACTGAAGGGTAGATAAAAAAATTAGTGATATGATGGACTCAAGCAAACTGTAACTGTACCTAGGACGCAGATTAGTCGGTGTGTGTGTGTGTGTGTGCGGGAGGGGGTAAAGTGTCAGTAGATGTGTCAGGAGAGTTTACGACTCCGATAAAAAATGTGTTACAGCATACATGCACACGCACACACACACACACACACACACACACACTGAAGGCTGGTTTTGTTATATTTAAAACCAAATGGAAGAGCGCAGTGGCAAACACATTTACGATGTGCTGGTTAATTAGCGGGTTATGCGTCTTAGATGGGTGTTGCACTGTTAGAGGTAAAAGATCCGCCGGTAGGGTTAGTTAACGCCTAGAATCCGTTTATAAGGCCTGGCAGCTACTGCTTTTAAACGAAGTGATTATTTTTTTAACGTCTTTGCTAAAGCTACTGTAATCGTATTAGCCTTTTTAAAGTTAAAACTCTTTTTCATTCCCCTTTTTTAGCTAATCTATCTGCCACTGTTAAGAATATTTTAAGTGAACAATCTTTGTTCATAAGAAAAATGTGCATATAAGTTTTATGACGCTGTCTCAACCATGATTGTGACGAACTCCACAAAAACCACACAATTGTGTTAGTGAAGACAACGTGAGACGGGGCTGGGGGAATAATGGTATCCAAGTACAGGTATATACTATACTAGGCCCACCCAACTACCAGACTGGGCACCGAATGATCCTGAATTCACCTGTAGATCGGACGCCGCCACCCTCCACTCCCCTCTTTAGTTAAATAGTACATTTTGTCATCCAGCTCTATCCAGTCTCAATTCCTACCAGTCCTGATACACTGTAGGTACATCTCGACAGATACCTTTTGACAGATAACGACACCCGGCACTATAAACCCATAAATGTACTGATAAATACACGTGCCGACAGAATAATAGACTAGAGTCTGCTTTTGAAAATGGAACTTCTTTTATAGAAATCACATCCCAGAGAATACATGGTATCTGATAACATCACAGTATAGATTACAGGCGCACGTACATGTACTGAAACATCAGTGGTCGTCATAGGTAAATGTTCTGACAAGCTCACCTTATTTACTTGTAATTTAATAAAGATTACTTCTTGTGATTAAACATCAATTACCATTATTTGAGGGCCATGGGGAAGACACATTTACCATGTTTTACCCTCAGTAACTAAATTTTAATGACTAAATAAAAACTTCGCCTTGGTATTTTTTATAGAAAGCATTATATTTACTCTCGACCTTGAATGTTGATACAGTTTACCATACAAACATTGACAGCGTTTCTAGCTCTCTAATGTTACTTCATTCTTTATTCAGACTTGTGCTGTGTGAAAAATAAACATACGGAGATATTTGGGTACTAAACATATACTAATCTCCTTAAAAACATGTAATTTGATCACATAAAATTTGAAAGTTCCCTTTCACAAAATGCGTCCTTACTCTGAAACAGCTGGGCTGTATCCTCCCGAAGGGAGGTGATAATATTTACACCTAGTCAAAAAACGCATCTTGTCTTCTCTAACACAACCCGCCACAGGTGATTTTTTTTTCCGGGGGGGGGGGGGGGTGAAACAGCAAAATAATTTGATATCAAACTTAATGGTTGATAAGATGTTATTATTTTTGCCATTGTGATGATAGAAAGCCTAAATCACCATCCGGGGATTAGGGCCCATTGCGCCATATCAAATAACAAAAAACAAGTTTAAATCGAAACTTGCGTTCAAAAAGCGGGTGCCCTTGTACATTATTATGTAATACAGGTGAGCATTTCGGTGAGAGGTGTTCAGGTAGGACCAAGGTCAGAAGAAGATGGAGAAGACAGAGATTCTTGGTACGTTGCTGCAATTTCTACATGTAGGCCAAAAATTTAGCACAGAAAATGACAGGAAGCTGCCGTAGTATTGTATAGATGATATAAGATAACGCTGTGCATTTTGTGTTGACGACAATTGCCCAAATGATGCTTTTCGCACTGGGACATTTTAGTCCTTATGACTGTGGGAACATTGCACTTATGTCCAATCCACTCTCCATTAGAATTTCAAAATCAGCTCAGAGTTTGAATGATTTATTTTCTGTAATTTCAGAGAAGGAACGCACTTGCCAATGAGGAAGTGAGAGGCTTATTGCAGCTGTCCAAAGGTCTGAACAAGTCCTCGACAAATAAGACGACTGGACAGGTATCTACACTCTCTTAATTGTTTTATTGGCGAGATCATTGACCTGTTTTCAAAGTATCAAAAATTTCTTGTATATGAAAGTAAACTTCAAACAAAAAAATGCACGTTCAGTAAGAAAATGTTGAACTATTGTGTCACTGCATTCCTGGAAACGACGGGACCAGGTTGGGGGGGTGAGGGGTGGGAGGGGACCAGGTTGGGGAGGTGAGGGGTGGGTGGGGGGTGGTCGGGGGTACAGTGTCCCTCTCTTAGTTTAAGAGGTATCCCTTTTCCCTCCCAAAATAACAAATCAAAATAAAAACAAGAACAAATCAAAAGCGCAAAAAATGTACATGGCACGAAACTAGACGAAATACAGCTGATGTATCCTCGCCCCCGCCGCCTGAAAACCCTGACTTGGTCAGTGAAAACGTGCCTAAGGTCTTTTTTAGATCCTGTCAATTTTATACTAATTGGCCCCATCTGCCAAATGTTTTCATTCACTGACTTTCATTTCCTTGAATATTTCTGTTATCCGGGCGCCTGGTCCTTTCATATCGCATCTTACATATGAATGCAAAGAAGTATGTTGTCATTTAACAGTGTGCACAGGGTAGAAAAGAATAGGAATGGCACAATAGTGTTTTGTTAACATAATTTCATGTGTTCCAAAATAGCATGCTGTAAAGATATACACATACTGCTTCATCAAACCGTGTCATGAATGTGATTTTCTTCGTTTATTTCAGTGGCTCCCAACTGCTGTTTACCGGGTGATTGGATGCGTCGCCGATCAAAGACATCAGATTCATGTTAAACATCGTCTGCGCCCATGCCAAGATTGTCTCGCTTGTTGAAGTTTGTCTTGTAGTTTATTTGCAGGGTTGACATTTAATATCAAATGTAATCTTTGCCTTGGATAGTAATATTCTGCATAAAATGTCACACATTGTGTATAAAAATAATTGTACGCAAAGAAATGAATGGCGTCGACCCTGCATGTCGCTGGTTATATATGATACATTCTTTCTAAATCGTAGTACACCACTCTATCCGCTCATATCGTTTCAAGGTATTTTATATATTATGTATATTTATTATTGTGTCGGAAGGAAGTACCCATCAATTGTCAAACAAAAATACGGCACTTTTTGGAGTTCACCTTTAACAAAATAGTTTTAATGCAAAAAGTATTTTGCTGAAATGATAGATGAAAACAAAAATGATAGTTATCAAATATTATTATTATTATTAAATTATTATTCGATTTTTAGATAGAGTACTGCGCGAGCACTATTGATTTTCTAGTTGAAGGTAAAAATTGTCTGTGGGCAGATATTTTAGATATTTATTTTGAATTAAATTGAATTGAATTGAATTCTGAGATTCCGATAAGAAAATATCTCAACTTTATTAATGAAACTTTTGAGAGACCAACGGTTTCATACAGTGACCGTTAAGTTTGATAAAAGAACAAGTTGTTAATTTAAAATAAGTTACAAACACTGTTCTTTCAAGTTATAAAGCTTTGGAAATTATAGCGTTATGAAAATGATAAAATTTGTCCACGTGATTCCAGAATTGCCCATGTATAAGAAACGATCCTTTTTTAAATTGTGGATGTACGTTTGTGACGCATGTTAAGAATGAACTTACTTTGGTTTCTGTGTTTTGATATCGTGTCTGATCAGTGACAGATACACATTTACTGTGCGGGGAGGGGTCTAAAACAATGTTAAGAAAATGAAACCAGGAGAGAAATAGGGATTTTCACGAAATTACTGCGCATTCGTTATTGCAGTAAGGGAATACATGTTACCCTCGTGATAAAAACTGCCCGTTCTGAGGGCCACCCAAATTTATCAGCATTGCATAAGCTCCTTTGTGTGTTGTTCGACTTTTTGCCGATATCGCAAAGCAGGAATGTAAGTGCTCTCCTGAAAAAACTTTGTTCATATGCATAAAAATTATCTATTATTAATTAATATGTCTTTGGTTGTGATTGAGGGGTGATTGAGAGAAAAAGGTCCGATTAGATGCCAGTCTCGCGCGTCCTGTTGGGGTATTTTTGCTAAGTGTTTCTTGGTCACTGAGCACCGGAGACCAAAGTAAAAGTCACCGTTTTTCTTTCTGCGTAATCTTTTCAGTTTTGTTTGTATATTTTTTCTTAAATTGTCATGACTAGAATAAGCTTGGAAATTGACCATGTCTTTATGCCGTTCCTGATTCGCATGAGTGCAAATTTAAGTTTTCGCTCAAATTCGTGCCATTAACAAATATTAAGGATGTAATGAAATGAAAACAAAATAACGGAAAACACTCGATTCTTAAAAATGACTATTTTTGTCTACCTTTTTCTGTGCGAGAATCAGCATGACGGCATAGAACAAGGTGTGCGTGAGTGCGAGTGCACGTGAGGGGAAGACGCCTATGTGAGATTATATGCATTTAGGAATTTCGATATCATTCACAGCACTGAAATTTGACACTTTGCTCCTCAATGGAATTAGTAATCAATTATTAACGTCAACTTTGAACAAAATTTGACAAGTACGATATGATTTCATTTTATATACCACTCCTGGTCATTTTTTTGTATGAATTTTGTTTTAGTAAGAATTATGTCGAAATTCTCTTTTATATAAATAAATAGAATTTGTTTGAGCTGCAATTTCCAAAGTGCATAAAATCCTTCATATGTGTTAGTTAGTCTACTATCAGGTAGACTTCTTGTATTGTTTTTGTAAAAGCATAATTTAAAGAATTTTTTAGAAATTTGACACTATTGTAATGGTTGCTATCAACGTAGAAAAAACGTAACTTCATGTATTCATGTATAAAACTTCGTTGAAATTACTTGGAATTTGTTGAAACAATAAATAATAAAAATATTGTACATATATTTGTATGTTGAATTCCCTTTCATTTTTCACCTTCTGTTCCCTTTAGCTCTCGTTCTCTAGTTCACAGGTCTTACCTATAGAGCCTCTTGTATTAGTTTACCTTGATTATTTGAATATTTTTTTTGCAAAAGGTAATTTGCTTGGACCCAGAAGCGCCAGGTTTCGAACTTGGGACTTTTTGACTCAGAGGCAAGCGCGTTACCTACTCCTCTAACTGTCCCCACCCACCCTCCTCAGGAAAACTTCCCTCTTATAGTAATCAAAGGGAAATTTCTGTAATGCCCCTTGAAAAGTATTCAACNAGGTAATTTGCTGGGACCCAGAAGCGCCAGGTTTCGAACTTGGGACTTTTTGACTCAGAGGCAAGCGCGTTACCTACTCCTCTAACTGTTCCCACCCACCCTCCCCGGGAAGACTTTCCTCTTATAGTAACCAAAGGGAAATTTCTGTAAAGCCCCTTGAAAAGTATTCAATGATTTCCAAGTACCCGAACCAGGAAACGAACCCAAACCCGAGGGGTACCACTGAGTCAATGAAATTATTGTAGTAACCTAAGTAAACTTCTAATAAAAATCCCAATACATTAAAGAAATTTTAGAAATTTAAGCCAAGGTCGAAGCCCAACCCCAGGCTGCCGCTGAGCAATGCACCCGTCAAAGAAACAACTAAGACATTTTATATACTTGGAAAGTCTTTATTCAGTGCCAAACAACTATTTATATTATATTTAAGTATTTCATTGTAAAACTACCAAGTTTAAGAACACTTAAATCACTACTTAATCACTTTGAATATCTGTAAGACATGCATATAAGACAAAAGTTATATCTCAAAGGTATAACATATACAACATATGTATTACATTTCACCAATAAACGGTCAACTTAACTACTCGTTCATGGTTTGGTGTTATCAATATCTACAAGCATTAAAAAAAATCCAGATCAAATTTGAGAAATTGGCAGTAATTAAAAGGATATATAAAGCAGTTCATCAATTATCACACAAAATGTGTGCGTCACCGACTAATAAGATCAATAACTTGTGACTATTTCTATATTTACATGATTTATTTGATTTATTATTACTATAGCATAAAACATGGAAAAAGGGAACATATCATGAAATTACTGTCAGAAAAATATATCAGCAAATTGTTGTAACTTCCAAATGATCTTTCAAAACACTCACTTTTGTCTTATGAAAAAAATGACGATCTCGACGATCAAAAGTTTCCATATTTGTGCATACTTTATTCGCACGACAACGTAACGCCAAGTCACCACTCGTTACCTTGCTGGTACTTTCGCCCTAAAAAGTTCGGAAACATTGTTATTTTGAATAGTTACAAAATAACCCTTATTAGTTTTTAGGCAAATATTTTAACGGTAAATATTTTTACGGTAAATATTTTAACGAAATATTGTTGGATAATGAACCCACCATTTGTTTATCTTTATTTCCACAGATTTTCCCAACAAATTACATTTTTTTTTTATTATTGAAAATCAATTTCACGTTTCCGAACTTTCTTGGTGGCGTGTATCATAACCAACAATCTCCCAGGGCCGCTGAATTCATGTGCACTTTTTTCTGACGCATGCAGGGCAGAAAATTCCCATCATTTAACTAGAAACATATCTTTGAAAACGTGTATCTAGTGAAAAATCAATCTGTGGCCCTGGGAGAGGGTAATCATTATTGTAGTACCATTTAACAAAGGCCACGACGGCAAACTTGAAAGTCTTACGAGAATAGAGCACGTTGAAAGGCATAAGGGACAGATATCTTTACTGAAATAAACCAAACCTGTATCTGACGACCACGCAGTCTTAAACATGTCATGTTTCTAGTTGTTTTATTTTAAAGATATCAACAGAACGATTAACATTTGTTTGAAACAGTATTTTGCGCTATCAGTTCGCCCCCTATGCCTTGTAGGGTTTACATTGTTGGCCAGTGAAGCCACAATATTTAAAGCTCCCGTCACACAAAAATCTGTACAGTGTAGCTATAATTCAACTTATATATTCAACGGACTGAAATAGTACAACTGGACTAGTGAAATCGTGCCGAAATTAGAAATGGAAGTGTAATACTTATACAGCATACCTACTGTCTGTTATGCTCTTTTTATTTCGACCTCCAACCGCTTACTACAAATATTTACATGTCAGTAAATAGGAATTTAAATGAGAGATTCCACAGCATTTCCCCTTTTTTGTCTGCTTCTAGTAAATATACTCCTGGTACGTCTTCAACTGACGATATTTTTTCTACTAACGAAGTCCGAAATAGTTTTCATTTCCATAGGACGTGATAAGGTGAAGTTATGGAGGAAGCAAAATGTTGTGGAGGAAACACTGGGGAATAGCCAAACCATTTTTATACATGCACGCGTCACAGTACATTTTATAAAATGAATTACAAATAAGTGAACATTAAATCCCTAACATTTATACATTAAAACGTTATACTGAATAGGCTGAAACGTAAATATTCGTATACTTAGTTTCCAGACCGCCTCGCATCCACTCCCTGATCACGTAAGGTGTAACATCTCTTCCCAGAGAGTAGGTTCAATTTGCTTTATGGGGGAGGGGCTAAAGCTTTTCTGTCCAACCCTCACTCTTATCTGACAAGCAAAACTTGATTAACAATTTACTAAAATCAAAATGCATATATATAGCGCATTTGTGTTAAATATATTTCAAAAAGAAACCAGAAGAAAACACCCAAAATGAAATAATATTATGTAGGTCAATGGCGATTCTAAAATGGTCCACTGCTTTTATCTGAACAGTTTTCGCCATGTTTGACAATCTGGGCAGTACTATAACGCCACCTGGAGGAAAATATGATCGTCTCTGTTGCAATCAGTACCTGTCACATTATGATATCAACATACTACATGTAGCTGAATATGACATCTACGTCTTTGTATGTCCACACATGAATCTACAGTGTATGCTCAGGTGTATATAACGTGCTTTTCCCGTCACGCCGGTTTATTTGGACTTCTTAAGGAGGACGATAAACACACTATACACCATTGATGAGGCAGAAAAGCTGTCATGTGAACATACAGATATATAACACATGGTAGAAACACTGACATGAAAACAGTCTACTGTCGCTGTACTGGGGGTAAATTAAGGAAGCCATTTAAAATGGAAGTGCACAAAATGTTTGATACCGTATAATGTTTATGTTTTGTTACCCAATGCTTCACAGCAACATGATAACCTGTTTTCAATAAAGAAATACATGTGTTGTAGATATTAAAATAATGTAGTAAACACAGGCCCATGTAAATACTTATTAAATCACAATTAAAATATGCCAAACTGTGAATAGTGAAAGTGGGGAAAATTTAAACGTTAAACCTACATCTGTGTTTCAGTCTAAGAGAAAGAGCACATTAATAATGACTGAGGTAAGCTTATCTGTTGACTGTGTGTAATTGAAGTGAATTTTTGAGAAGTGAAAACTAGACTTAAAAGACTGGCAAAATCCATGGATAAAAACAGTTAAACATTAATAATAATGACATATCAAGTCCAATGTTTGTGACATTTGTACAACTGAAGCTTAACAACTGTATAAATCTGAGACAAGCTTATCAGTTGATTGTCTATGATGAAAAAATTTTTTTTGGACAATATATTGCAGAAAACTGAAAATTACATAAAAAAAAAACTGGCAAATTCCATGGCTTAAAAACGTTAAACGTTAATAATTTTGACAAATCTAGTCCCATATTTTTGATACTTGTACAAACGCTGCTTAACAATAATAAAAATGTGATAAGCTCATNATATCAACAGAACGATTAACATTTGTTTGAAACAGTATTTTGCGCTATCAGTTCGCCCCCTATGCCTTGTAGGGTTTACATTGTTGGCCAGTGAAGCCACAATATTTAAAGCTCCCGTCACACAAAAATCTGTACAGTGTAGCTATAATTCAACTTATATATTCAACGGACTGAAATAGTACAACTGGACTAGTGAAATCGTGCCGAAATTAGAAATGGAAGTGTAATACTTATACAGCATACCTACTGTCTGTTATGCTCTTTTTATTTCGACCTCCAACCGCTTACTACAAATATTTACATGTCAGTAAATAGGAATTTAAATGGGAGATTCCACAGCATTTCCCCTTTTTTGTCTGCTTCTAGTAAATATACTCCTGGTACGTCTTCAACTAACGATACTTTTTCTACTAACGAAGTCCTAAATAGTTTTCATTTCCATAGGACGTGATAAGGTGAAGTTATGGAGGAAGCAAAATGTTGTGGAGGAAACACTGGGGAATAGCCAAACCATTTTTATACATGCACGCGTCACAGTACATTTTATAAAATGAATTACAAATAAGTGAACATTAAATCCCTAACATTTATACATTAAAACGTTATACTGAATAGGCTGAAACGTAAATATTCGTATACTTAGTTTCCAGACCGCCTCGCATCCACTCCCTGATCACGTAAGGTGTAACATCTCTTCCCAGAGAGTAGGTTCAATTTGCTTTATGGGGGAGGGGCTAAAGCTTTTCTGTCCAACCCTCACTCTTATCTGACAAGCAAAACTTGATTAACAATTTACTAAAATCAAAATGCATATATATAGCGCATTTGTGTTAAATATATTTCAAAAAGAAACCAGAAGAAAACACCCAAAATGAAATAATATTATGTAGGTCAATGGCGATTCTAAAATGGTCCACTGCTTTTATCTGAACAGTTTTCGCCATGTTTGACAATCTGGGCAGTACTATAACGCCACCTGGAGGAAAATATGATCGTCTCTGTTGCAATCAGTACCTGTCACATTATGATATCAACATACTACATGTAGCTGAATATGACATCTACGTCTTTGTATGTCCACACATGAATCTACAGTATATGCACAGGTGTATGTAACGTACTTTTCCCGTCACGCCGGTTTATTTGGACTTCTTAAGGAGGACGATAAA